CAGAGCTTTTGTAAATATGTCGGCTATCATTTCGCTGGATGATATATGTTCCAGATTGAACAAACCCCCTTCATAGTTTTCCCTGATAAAATGATATCGAATATCAATATGCTTACTGCGTTTGTGGAATTCGGGGTTTTTGACCAATTTTATCGCGCTTAAATTGTCCATGAAAAAAATGGCCTTTTTCACTTCGTTCGGTATAATTTCATTGATAAAACGAACAAGCCACACCAGTTCCCTCGTAGCTTCCGATGCTGCAATATATTCAGCCTCCATTGTCGAAATTGATACGGATTTTTGACGTTCACTGCTCCAACTGATTAGGTCTGATTCCAGTTTGAACGCATATTAACTGGTCAGCCACTTCTTTTCTTTGGCGAAAACAGGGCATACACTTGAGCGAAACTTTCTTAACTGCTTTACGAACACCGATCATCCAAAAACGTTGTCTAATATACTGCATGCATAACTGAGTGCCGCCATGTAAGGTACGTCGATGCGCTTCTACTACCAATAGATGTGAAAATCTACAATCATGATGCAATATTATCGGATGCTTCGTATCAAAAGACATCATAGAACGCTTTATACGGCCACCAACACGCAACAAACCATCACCATCAACGAATGGTGACATTTTCACTATTATTGAATCACGCGATAAACTTTTACCATTTTTGAGTAGCTCAATATCTCCGGCGAAATATTTTTGTTGATGGTATTTAATCCAAATCGCTTGAGCCTCCAAGTAATCGGCATGGGCAATGAAAGTTGAACAGACTTTCTCTTTGGTTTTTATCATTCTTATGAAAGCCAAAACTCTAGCAGTAACACGAACCAACCTCATCATCGAACTACAACGATCCAACAACAATTCTGTTGTTACATCATTCACTGTAACTTCAATTCGCGGCACAGTTTCAACTCGAATAATAGCACATGCCTGAATTGCTCTTGACTCAGCTACTGTAGCCTCTTTGACACGTTGATCAACGGTAAAACTGCTAACTGGCCAATCTGAATATGGTTTCGACAGCCAGTGTGGTCCATGGAACCAAAGCGAATTTCCAACTAATTCACTTGCAAATAAGCCTCGTGAAGCCAAATCAGCAGGGTTGTCATTTGTACGCACATGCTTCCATTGCGCTCCCTTTGTACATTCTTGGGCTTCGGCAACACGATTACCAACAAATGCCTTTAAGCCAGATGGACACTTTGACAACCAATGTATGACTATGCTTGAATCTGTCCAAAGAGTCAATTTACTCATTGACACATCATGAACACTACAGATTTGTTGACACATTTGCGCCATCATCAACGCTCCACACAACTCCATACGTGGTATAGTCATACCCTTTAGTGGTGCAACTCGAGTTTTCGATGTTATCAGATTACATTCAATTGCAAATCCACTTTCTACTCTGGCGTAAAAAGTCATTCCATATGCACTGTTCGACGCGTCTGAGAAACCATGAATTTCAATGGATTTCTTTGGTGAAATTCCAAGCCATCTTGGCACAGCAATTTTATTAACATCAATCATCGTACTTTTTAAATCAGTCCAACGATTCTGAAGTTCCAATGGTACTATGGTGTCCCATTCAACTTTGCTTTTCCACACATCCTGTATCAGAATCTTACCCAAAATTACAATCGGTGCCAACCACCCAATAGGATCATATAACTTCGCAACCGCGGACACTATATTTCGTTTTGTAGGTGGTAGATCTGATAAATTAGTGTAATGATAACGGAATGCATCTTCCGCAATTGACCATTTCAAACCAAGAATTGAACTTTCATCACAAAGATCAAAATTTACTGAACTTACTGCGCCGGCGGTAACACCAAGTACCGACCTCATGTGTGCACTATTTGTGGCCCATTTTGCCAAAGGAAAACCACAACTCATTAACATCTCATTCAATTCTTGGTACAATTTCTCCGCATCCAAATCAGTATCTGCGCACAAAGTACCATCATCGACGTAGAACGAATTCAACACTGCTTTTGACGCTAATGGATACTTATGCCGATGCTCCAAAGCACAATACCTCAAAGTGGCGACACAACAATATGCACTTGATTTTAAACCATATGTTTGCCTTTTCATACGATAATGCCGCAGCGGTTCATTCTCATTTTCGCGCCAAACAATTCGCAAATAATCACGTTGATTTTCTGGCACTAAGACTTGACGATACATCTTGGTAATGTCCGTAGTTAATGCAACACCATATTTACGAAATCGCATAATAATTATATTCAAATCATCTTGACAACGAGGTCCATTTAATAAAATATCATTGAGAGATACACCCGTTGTAGTCTTAACAGAACCGTCAAAAACAACTCGAAATTTACTTGAATTTGCAGCATGATGCGGTATGTAATAGACATCCTCTTTATATATCTCATTCAGCGGAACCAACTCCATATGGTCCAAATCAATGAATTGTCGAATATCTTTGATGTAATTCTCTTTTAACCTTGGATCTTTGCGAAATCGTCTCTCATTTTGTAATTGACGTGCTATGGCTGCACGCAAAGAATTGCCCAATTTAGGTGGATTGTCCATAATTGGCATCGCAACTGAATACCGACCGTCTTCAGCTCGCTTTATAGTTTCGCTGAAAATTTGTTCACAACGCGCTTCCTCGGACGTGAGAAGCGATTTTTCTTTCACAGCATCAACCCTCCACAATCTTTCCAAATTGTCGGCGATGCGTTGACAATCAGCGATTGCAAGATGCGACAAAGAAGCAAACTTTTGACTTGATGGTAATGCTCCATAAACAATCCAGCCAAATGTAGTGCAGCTCACCACTGGACGATTCGAATTGTTATGATCTCTTATAATTTTGTTACCTTGAATGCGTGCCATAAATTCTACGCTTAACAAAATATCAATATCATCGGGCATATTAAATGTCTCATCTGCTAATGGCAAGCCATCCAAATGATTCCAGTCTGAAATATCGAACTGAGTTGGTGGTAATTTACCCGAAACCACACTCATAACACCAGCTCTAATCCATTCACCAGTACTCGAACCGCCGTCCGCTGGTGAAATTTTCAAATCAACAAAAGTTTTTGAGTCAATACCACATCGGCCGGCACCCTCCATTGGCACAGACAATTTTCTTTGCTCAAGATCTAATAGCTGCTGTAAACGCCGTGAAATCATACACATGTGTGATCCACCATCAGCCATCGCTCTGACCTTAACTTCTTTGCCAAATTTATCTGACGCTAACACTCTCAACGTCGCAATTAATGATGCATCAATATCCGTATTAGCCGGCGATGATTGTACCAAGGTTAACACCGTTGCTGGTTTTTGTTGCTGAGGGCATAATAACTTATTATGAGGTTGCCCACAAATTCTACAATCCGAAATACTACAGGTGTCCTTTGAATGACCTCTTCGCAAACATTTCACACAAATATTCAAGCTTTGTAAACGCTGCTCTCTCAGATCAATCGACATTCTTTCAAAAGACCGGCAATCATATAGCTTATGCAAACCGTTACAATGAAAACATGCACGCTTCTTCTTAATCTTACTTGGATCATGCTTATAATTCGACTGTTGTGAAGTTGCCGGCATAGCTGTTATCGCCGGCGCATTCGATGCAGATTCTGGACCTCTAAAATGTCCTCGACTTGAAACAGGTCCACTTTGACTTGAATGACCTTGAAATGACGAATAAAAATGACTGGTTTTTTCAATTCTAACTGCAAAATCTGAATCCATACTGTCAGCTCGTTTTCTAATAAATTCCAGTAATGGTTGTACCTTTGCAATAGTTTTTTGATCTCGTTCTAATGACCATAAACGAATTGACTCACCATCCATTTTTCGAATTAATAACGGTACCAAAATTGGATCCCAATGTTCGACACGAATATTATATTTTGGCAAAGAATATAACAAATTATTCGTTTTATTAATCAGCGCAATTAACGCCGACCTAGATGGTGTCTCTACACACGGCATGTCAATAAATGATAAAATAATGCTGTTCACAATTTTCCTCTCATTGTCATATGCATCACACAACTTTGCCCAAGCTTGTTCATAATGCAAATTCATACCGTTAACTGTATTGTAAGCCTCTGACTGTGGTGCCAGATGAGCCATCAAATGATAAAACTTTGTTGAGTCGGTCATATCCGTTCGACGATGAAAACATTCCTCAAATTGTGCTTTGAACTGTGGCCAATCATTGTCTTTGCCGCTAAACTTTTCAATTTCCATCTTCTTGACCTTGACACCCTGATCTTGAACATGCGGTGCAGTTGTATGCATTGTGCTATTCGATTGGTACGAGATATCTGCGGTTGTCAACTCATTGATTCTTTTTTCTAACAAACCATTTAGCGATGAATGCAAACCATCTACTTTATCCATCAATTTTTGGTGTTCAATGATGTCCTTTGCTGACAAAACTTGCGATTTGGTCGACTCTTCAAAAAATCGTTGATAATACATACTAACCAATTTTAATTGGCTATTTAACGTTGACAATGGGAGCGATTCAAAATCATCACCATGCACCACAGAAAGTATTCTTTCCAAACCAACAATACACATGTGCTTGGCATCATAATTTTTAACCTCTCTTTTTTTCTTTCTGTCATTTGCTTCGCCGGCGATTTCATTTGAAAGAGCGTCTTCAACGCTTGTGTCATTTATTTCCAGAATATCAATCGAATTCCGTTCTGTGCGACGCTTACCTTTGCCCATTTTAATGTAATAATTTGTCCAAAAACAAAACAAAAACGAATCAATGACACTGAACTATGGTGTTCATGCACTTGTAACGACGACAAAAGTCTCACGCAATAAAAAAAATATTTCAAAGATACCGTACTTTGGCGTACGTGCACTTTAAGTATTGATCTCAATTTCGACTATTTAATTGATGGAAAAATATCTCAAAGATAATTAGAATAATTCACTTTGTGCTGAAAAATTCAATGTCTGTCACACTGTGGTGTGTGCTCTCTCGATCACAAAAAATTACCAAGTTCGAAACTGCGCAATTGCAGCACAATCACCTGTATACGGTGTACAGTTATGTTGCCAAAATGAACAAAAAATGCTAAGTTTGTCGCGCACTGTGGTGTGCACACAACTTTTTTTTTTTTTTTTTCGAAAATATGAACAAAAATCGCTGTTTGTAACACTATGGGGTGCATACAAACACGAAAACTTGAAATTAATTTGCAAAATTAAATGACCTTTAAAGCCACACTATGGTGTGCGTGCCCACTAAAATTCCAAGAATTTTAATTGCAAATCGATTCTCAAGTAGATTCGAAGGACCAATAAATGAAACTCAACTAGTTGAATGTTCAAAGTATACTAAATTTATTGAAAGTGGTGCGAGCACACCGCACCGACTGACAGCAACATCGGACGGGTGTGCAAAGATGCCAAGAGGCTTGGCCATTCATTGCGTAGCTCACCAAGAGATGGTGTTACCAAACTAAACATTTTAAGTTAAATCTGTTCGTTCCGAACACCGGTCGTAGAACGTCGACTTTCCATATCTCCCGCATGATCTGCGTCGCTATATGCTTTTAATTGCGTTTTTCTTCCGTTGAGATATAACAAACCACACTCAATCGTTCCGGCCAAATATCTAAAAATGCGTTTGACTGCTCCCTCATGCACAATAGTTGGTTTTTCAAGATATCTGCTAACGATGCCGACTGCGTGTGTTATGTCAGGCCGTGTTGCTATAGATAAATACATTAAACTACCAATCGCCTCTCTATAGGGGTACTTGCTTGGCTCGGATTGAATGGATCCATGCAAAACTTGACTTTGATCACTCGGTGTTGTTACAGAATTACACTGATCCATATGAAATCTCCTCAGCACTCTTTTTGTGTATGTCGATTGGTGCACAAAAATTGATCCATCGTTTCGTTGATTTATTTCGAGTCCAAGAAAAAGTCCAACGTTCATGAATTTCATTTCAAATTGTTTCTTTAAAAAATTGATGACATTTTCAATGCATGTAACGTTATCACTCGCAATAATGCCGTCATCAACGTGAATTGCAAGTATTGTCAACTTATCGTTTT